GGGAGTGGGAGAGGGAGAAGCAGGCTTCCCGCCGAGCAGGGAGCCCAATGCGGGGCTCGATCCCAGGACCCTGGGACCATGACCTGAGCCGAAGGCAGACGCTTAATGACTGAGCCACCCAGGCGCCCCTGTTGTTGTTTTCAATTTCTTACATCTTTTGGACTCCAGAGTCTACAAAGAATTTCAAGTATATATACACTTATACTAAGTTGACTAGATATGTTTTTGAATTTGTCCATAAAACAGAATTTTTGTGTATTCTGCATTCTTATTAACAGTGTATACTCAGAGATGCAGTCTTAGGAGTCACTGTATCGATGATAACAATAGGTGTTTTCAATGTTAGTGGGCTGTTGACAGCATATAAATTGACAGTCCATTGAAGACCTTCAGAACTTGGAGATGCTTAAAAAGAATGACATTGAGAATTACCCCCCACCTGTCCCTCAAGAAAAGGTTCATGAGAATGTAACAAAGGTGTTTATTTTTAGTATCAACTGTTCTTTCATTGAGCAAACACTGTGATGTGTTTATGAAGACACAAGAAAAGCAGACACACCCAGAGTGGTTTATTTTTTTTTTAATTTTTTATTATTATGTTCAATTAGCCAACATACAGTACCTTATGAAGGGTTTTTTTGTAATTTTATTTTTATTATGTTCAGTTAGCCAACATATAGTACATCATTAGTTTTTGATGTAGAGTTCAGTGATTCACTAGTTGCGTATAACACCCAGTGCTCTACACAACACGTGCCCTCCTTAATGCCCATCACCCAGGTACCCCATCCCCCCACCCCCTCCCTTCTGTAACCCTTAGTTTGTTTCCTGGAGTCCAGAGTCTCTCATGGTTTGTCTCCCTCCCTCTCTGATTTCCTCCCATTCAGTTTTCCCTCCATTCCCCTCTGGTCCTCTGTGCTACTCCTTAAGCAGAATAGCTCATAACCTGGGTATGGAAGAGGCCATTTCCAAAGTCCACAGAGCAAACTCTCAAAATGCATTCCTAAAAAGAATAAAAGCTCTTATGGATTAGGAATGGGAGACCTAGGTGGCAACCATTGTTTCTGCAGATATTTTCCATTTTGTGTCCTTTCTAAATATTTAGTCCCCTGTGCGTAGACCGTCATTGAAAATATAGTACCTTATTCCGAAACGAAGGTACGTACATTTACTATAAGTATTTATGTTGCACATACTGTGCATGTATGTGGTTTGCATCATCTTCAGATATGCTGGAAGGGTCTGACTGGCCTCTTGTGTGAATACCAGTCTATGGACTACATATGTGGGAACACATTTCCGGAAACTAGTCTGGAGTTCCAGCTCTGGCCGAGATCTTCTCAACACTGATTGATTATGTCTGAGGAAATCAGGGCTAAGCTATGTTCTTTTTGCCTTTGGGTGATGCTGTAACATAGGTTCCTGGTCAAGTAAATAGAGCCCAGTTTAAAGGCCATTTCAAGGACGCAGTTGAGGAAGTGATTAATTCATTCTCCTCTTTGGTCATTGTTGACTGGCATCAGTATATTCTGTAGTCTTTGCTCTCTGGGTACCTTGGGTGTATGAAACAACCACATCAGAAACATGTGTGGAAGCCTAGACCACTTGAAATGTGTGTTACAAAAATCTAAAGATCACCTTCAGAATTTAGGATTCTGATTTAAGGGTCCTCTGGCCTTATTACTCATTTGCAGAAAACACCTCGGGCCCTGATTTCTTTTTCTTTGGGAATGTTGGCTACTTGCTATATTAGATTATCCAAAGGAAAGCATCAATTGGACATTTCCCCTCCTTCCCCTCCCATGTTGGCAGATGAGAAGAAAAAAATACGGTACAAAAATATTTAATCTGCTAAAGTCAGATTCAACAGAAGCAGAGGTGGAAGAAAAAAACCTAATTGCTTCACTTTTAACACACATGTTTTCCATAGACAGCTGGTTTTCTTCAATTTTCATAATTACAATTTCAGGAAGCGTCCCTCCACTTCAGGATGGTTATCCCATTTGCGGGTTACCCATTTCCTGCGCATTTCCTTCCTCCAGCCCACCTCTTGGCCACATTAACATTACTTCATGTCACAAACGATACCACAGGTGGCCAGAACAGGTTCTGAGAAAGGGAAAATGACATGGAAACCGGTCAAGTTTGCTTTGTGTTACATCAAAGTGTTTGGTGAGGAGAGGCCCACACTCTTGGCCAGAAGGAGACTTCTGGAAAACATAGGCCTTTCGGAAATCTACACTGTTTCTTTCATGAACATCTCCATTAACCAAGCATTAGCTGGCTAGATATCTCTGATGAGGTCGGAACAGTGAGCATCATAGCAGTTGTGACCTTTGAAATGAGGTTGAGGATATGCCCTCACGCATGTGATCAGTCCGCCGGTCTTAGGTTAGACTTGGTTTAATGCTTAGTCTTAGAGGGGCTTACAATCAATAGGGCAAGATTCACACACAAGATTCAACAGTCAAGAGCAGTTCAGCAGAATTTATTAAGTAGGGGTTGGACTGTATAGGACAGAATATGTGTGTGTGTTTGTCTGTCTGTATCCTTGAGTTCAGGGATAGGGAAGAGACCGATGAGTCAGATGAAGGCCATGAGAAGTCTTTGTGAGGAGAGGTGTAGGGGCTGAACTGTGCCTGGGAAACTAGGGAGAGGTGGAGAAAGTGGAATTTGGGTCAGTGTCATAGTAGATTGTGTGTGTGTGTGTGTGTGTGTGTGTGTGCATGCATGCATGTGTGCAGGGCCTCAAATGCCAGAAAGAAGTCAAGGAGGTGAGAAAAAGATACAGATGTTCAGAAAATATATAAGCCCCCATCCTCTATGAAATTGATACTACCTGTGGTCAAAAATGGGTACACCCTTTGTTAGAATGAATCCTTGAAACTATCAGGTGTGTTGATAACATTCAATGAAAGACAGTCTCATTTGGAGAATAAATTTACAAATTCCTGTCAGGGGCTGTTGGAGGTATCTGTCTCTTGTTAGCATCGGATTTTGATGGGTGAAGTTTGGAAAGAGATGAGCTTCCATTTATTTAGGTTGTAGTTAGAATAAAAGCCCAGTCATGCCTACAAAGCCCTGGATGGTCTGTCTGACCTCTCTTCCCCTTCTAACTGGCTGTCTTCCAGGCCATTCTTCCCCTCATTCCCTGAGCTTCAGCCACACACCACCTTCTTTCTCTGTCTTCAGTGTGCTAAGCTGTTGCCCACCGTACATTACCCTGGCATTTACTGTGTCCTCTCCCAAGAAGACACATCTCTAGGTTCTTGGGCAGAGCAGCTCTTTGTCACCAGTCCTGCATCAGCTCTGATTTCACTCCCGGAGACCACAGGCTCCACCTCCCATCCCCCGAGAGTGGTCTGCTCCGGTCCCTTGGCATTCACCATCCTGTCACCCTCTTTCATTCCTTAAAAACCCAAGGAGGACTCTGAATGGTATTGTTGGTTTATTATCCGTGTCTCCCCTTCGGAGGGGTCATTAGGACGGGAACCTTCTCTGCCTGCTTACCGTCATACCCCAGCGTGTAGTAGGTGCTCAGTAAAGTATACGTTAGATGAGTCAGTGGCAGTGGGATCTCCATTACGCTCAGGGCCTACAAAGCTCGCATTCTCTCCCCTCTCCTGAGGAGCTGAACTGTTACAAAGGCAGGAAGAAAATGGAGAATGGTACGATCTGGGGTGGCCCATGTTACGATGGCATTATGTTACAGCACGTCTTTTTTCCTTTGTTCCTCTACGAAGTCTTAAGAACTTGGGAAACAACACCGCTCAGAGGGATGTTTCAAAGAGATGGACTTGGAGGGGGCCATTGTGTGGGTTGGATGGATGCTAGTATGTCAGGAAGAGCTGCTGGGTTCGTGCATTTCTTGCTATGTTTCTATGTTGTAGCCATTGTGGAATGACATGACTATGACCCTAACGAGCTAAGATCCGATGTTTCTCCAGTCTGCCCTCTGAATCCTTCACACACATTTCCTGTCCAGACTTGGTTCCCTTCTTCGTTCCCTTCTCCGAGTACCGCTGACTGAGTATGCCTGCCCCCTACCTATCATGGTATGATAGCCATGGCTAATTCAGCAAAAGAAGTTTGATGAAACTGTTACTTTTTCCTCCTTCGTGGGTTTCAGACAGTAGCACCTCCTCTAGCTGACACTGTCCGAAAGCTGCCTGAGTTCTCAGTTTTGGCCAGCTTGGCTTCCAGGGGCCTGGTTAAGAGATTATCCAGCGTGTGCTCTGCAGTTGCCTCGTTTGGGTTTATAAATGAAACGTTCCAATGCTTTCTTCTGTGTCATTAATACGTGCTGACAATAAAATGATACATCCCTTATTGTGCTGCTGGGATGGAATTTATTTGACTCTATTTTTTTCAAAGGATCTATGGCGTTAGCACAGGGCAGAGCAGGCAGAAGACTTCTGTTTGCTCGCCTTCCCCACATGTACCCTTCCTGCCTTCTCTTGTTATTATGCTAGAGACCCATGCTTCTGCTCTGCAGGCCACCACCACATGTCCGTTAACGTAACCCATTATCTGCACAAGAAGGTGATTTGCCCATCTTCTGATTTTTAGTCATCTGCACCGTCTAATTCTCCCTCCTCCTTCCTCAGCACTGCAGTGACAACACACATCCCTGCCAATCAGACATGAACATCGAAGGAGCCTGGAAGAGAGGCTACACGGGAAAGAACATCGTTGTGACCATCCTGGATGATGGCATTGAGAGAACCCACCCGGATCTGATGCAGAACTACGTGAGTGTGTGCTGGGGTCGGAGCCCCCTCCATCCTGGGAAGTAAGGGGACGCGTGTGAGGACTGTCAAGAAGTGGGGTTACTACTGAAAAGGGCAGCTAGCAAATACAGTAGGCTCTGCGTATCGCTTCCATCTTACAAAACGTTGCACCCTCTGAGTACAGGGAGGTGAGCTACTGCTTTCAACTTTCAAGTGCCTTTGATGTTCTGATGACAAAAAGCAAGTGATAAGGCAGCAGAAGCCTCACCCCCACCACCATCTGCTCCTGATAATGACCACTCTTCTCAACGACTCATCCACAAAGCCACGCCACACACTCTGTTTCTCTTGTGGAGAAAGCGTACTTAGAACTTTTCTCAAGTTTTTCTACTGGTCTCTTTCTCTTTTTTTTTTTTTTTTACTCCCTTTTTCAAAGGACAATAGTGATCAGCCTCCTACTAGTCCTGGGAAGCAGTCAGTTCCCTCTCTGAAGGAGGAACTGTGATTCCAGGACTCCAGGAGGATGTAGGATGTAGGATGAGCCCAAGACCACAGAGCCCACGGAACATTGGGGTCAGTTTCTGCCCCTTGGGCCTCTGGGTTCCATCTACCACTGTGGTATCTACTGCCTAGAAATGTGCCAGTGATCTCTCTAAACTCTGCCCCCTCCAAGCTCATTCCTTCCATTGGCTTCTCCTTTCTAAGGTCACTTGAGAGGGCCATATTATCTCTCAATATGCCATTCTCTGTCCTCCAAATTTGTGTTTCCTGACAACCTTAGTGTTCTCTCTAAAATACTTCTTCTCTTATAAGGAGCCTGCAACGATCCCCTATTATCTGCAAATACAACTCTGATTCCCATGAGGGCTCAGCAGAAAATCCTGTGGATCCCACTCACACCCATGTCTTCTGACTTCCCCTCAGACCTCTTTTCTGGTGACGACTGTTTCCACCCAGGAACACTGATATCACCGCATGCCGCTTAAACAACAATCGCTTTTCCCCCTCATCCTCCTCTCTTCCTTCCTGATTCCTTTTAATTCCAAAATTTTGGCCGTGTCGAGGGTCCCTAAATTATATTTCATGTTGGTATTGAAAAAAATTTCTCTTAAAATCAGTGATTTTCTAGCCGCTTACAGTTTCCTCTCCTATCCCTGAAAATACAAGCAGCTCTAAATCATGGTGAAGTCTGCTTTACTTCCCTTGCAGGACTCTTACTGACCCCAAAGGAGGAAAGCCACGGGCCAGGGTGGGAAGCTTTGCCCCGTGTTCACGGAGGGGACCCACAGAGAATCCTGAGCTATATAGCTGGGAGGACCCCGTCTCCGCAGATTTTTGTCTTCTATATTCCATTTCATGGTCGTTAAAGGAGGCACTTCAGTAAGCCCAGCCCACCACCCTGTGCCCTGAGCTGCCAGAGAATGATGAGGCAGGCCCTGCCCTGCAGGTCCCTCTGCCCATCAGCACAAAGGACTTGCCATCCCAGCATGCTTGCTGCCTCAGTGGACACAGAGCGGCCCTGGGGTACATTGTTCTGGGCTCACTCAGAGTGGACCTGACCTTTTCCTTAAGGCCAAGTTTCAGAGACCAGGGATATGATGCCTTCTTGAAATCTGATCTCTCTCTCTCTCTCTCTCTCTCTCTCTATCTCCATCTCCCTCAGCATGGGAAGGCTTGGTTTCTGGGCACCACGGGTATCCCCTCCATGTCTCCTCTGCCCCCCTTTCCCTACTGCTCCAGCTTCTTATGAAACCGTTTTTAGAGCGTGATCACCATATTCTCTCCAATGTTCTTTTCTTATTTGCTCAGTCTTGCTTATTTCATGATACTGAATCTCAAATTAATTCTCCTGAAGAGACTTCATTTTATCTTTGCAAATAAAATACCTCCAAGCCCCTTCCTTGGTGCCCCAGAAACTCCCACTGGCTCACAGTGACCCATATTTCTGACCCACACAAACCCCCAGTGTCTCCTCACACTTGAATCTTTCCTTACAGTCTTCCCCCGTCACCCGTTTTGTGTCAAACATTCAGCCAAGAAACTTCACAAATTAATTTTTTACAGTGACATATTGAAACAATTTCCGCCAAATTAGGTGACTTTTCCCGAAGGTTAAAAAGAGAGAGAGAGAAGGAACTGCAGATTCATTTTGTTCTCATTTGAACAAAACGTTTGAGCGGCCGCTCTCACCCTGCCTCCAAGCACACTCAGGCATTCACAGCATAGAATTTGAGAGCTAAAAAGAACTTTCTATTCGTCTCCTCCTTCAAGAGGGGAGAAGCTGGAACCTGAAGGCTATAGTGAGTGAGCCCAGGTCGTATAAAGAACAGAAGTGTGGGGACCTCTCTCCCAACAGAGAAGTCTTTCTGGTCATACACAGTGTGGTATTTATGGGGTGTTCCTGCCCCCCACCAGCTAGGAATATATTTGATGAAACACAGACGGCTTTAACCTAATTATGATTGCATTCTTTGCCTCTTTCATTTTTCCCCCCTTGGAGGAGAATTCTCTAGAACATATCTGTGTGACGAGCAGTACCGCTGCTTCTCAGTTGTCCTGATGTTGGAGCTGGTGAAGTGTAGGGAAGAACACATTGGATGGGGTCAGGGGGCACATGGCCTGGGTTCCAATCTTGGTTCCACAGGCTGGTTTGCTTCATGCCTTTGGCCAAGTTACACAGCCTGTCTTGGGCCTCTGTTTCCTTATAAGTAAAATTAGTCAGTTATACTAGATGGACACCATTCATGCTCTAGTGACCAGTATGGGGGGCTGTGGGGCCGCCTTTATAGGAGAAGCAGGGACTTACCTACCACCTTTATATGTCCCGTGTATTTTGCATAATTTCTCCAGACATCAGACTCTATGTACTACACATTATTTTCAGAAACAAGAGTCTTTGATAAAGCTAGAAAACACGTTGGCTTTCACTAAAACTGAAATCAGGAATTACCCTAAAGTGTCAGAAAACACAAAACAGTCTAAATTAGTTCTACCTACTGTGATATAAATTGGAGTAAAGATATAAGCCAGTAATTTCTTTTCAGAAATTTAGAAAATCAAAAGGAAGAAATGTAGAAATTTGGAGATGTTTCACAATCACTTTTAAAAGCAGACAGATCCAGCTTTGGCTTCAGAGATGCTTTTCCCTCATTTTGAAGCCTTGACCTAGAATAAAACTTTGTTCATTATTTTGGTTGGGACAGAGGATCATTGGGTATCAGTAAAAAGTCTGAATTACAGACTCTTTTATAGTAGATACAACATCTGAAACCAGACAGCTATTGTCTGATAGAGATACCACGATACCTAATATAATAAATTTCTAATACTGATTTTTAATTGGCTTGCCAGTTGTTTGTGAATTATCTTCAAAAATCTTTGAATCATAAGGAATTTACACACTCCAGAAATGAAGTAAGGAATAGAGAGAGAATCCCTGGAAAATAAATCACTTTGCTTCTAGAGAGTCCAAGAATACTGCACCGAAAAGGTGGTCACTGGGGACCTCTTCAGAGGCAGTGAATGCGAGGTCAGTTCCAGAGATGAGGGAAAATATGTTGGCAAGAATGGTCTGGGTTCTTCCTTGGTCTGTGGAGAGTGTTTTTTCACCTTAAGGAGAAAAATACAACAGTGATTATTACTGAACAAGGCCTCCTGATGCCACCGAACCATGAATGTATTATTTAATCTAATTACTCTCTTGCGGAAATGTGTTTAAGAATGCATGTGGCTCCTGGTTAATGGCTAATTACTAAATGTCTGTCTCCTCCTCTTGCTCACTCCTCTGTGGCCGTAGGATGCTCTGGCGAGTTGTGACGTGAATGGGAATGACCTGGACCCAATGCCTCGTTACGACGCAAGCAACGAGAACAAGTAAGGTCCAGCGGAGCGGGGGCTGGCCTGTGGCTGCCAAGGATTTTTGTTTTCTCCTCTTGCTGAGGGAAGTATTTTCTTAGAAAGCCTTGGTAACAAATGATCCATAAATTTGCTCCAGGGTGAACAGGTGTCTTTTCACTGAAGCTTCTGGGTAATAAAAAGGGGTGGTCTCCATGGTAAGAATGGTCGCAGAGAGAACCCTGGGGAATGACTCAGCATTTCCATATCTTGAGGGCACAGCTGGGGAGTATTGCCCCTCATAAGGTAATTGGCCAGTGACCCATTTTTGGGGATGGGGTGCTAAAGGGAAAGGCAAAACAATGTGTATGCCAAAAGAGTTTCTTTATTCTGTTAAATTCAACAAATTTCATTGACCCCTGTGCTTGAAGTCTCTGCCAGGGGCTTGCTTATTAGCCTCTTTGTTCTTCTGTAGTGATTGTATTTTCTACTAATACACGTGAAATACCTATAAGGTTTGCCATGTACAGAACCTATTACCTTTCTTATCTTCACATTCAAGAGCCATAGAAACCCATTTAACCACTTTTCCACTCTCCGGTTAGTACAGTAGTTCTTGTGAGAGCAGATGAAAATGCACATCCATTTGATACCATGGAATATCTTAACATTCTTCAGAAAATAAATGGGAATGGTTTTTCTTGCTTAAGATGACCCAGATTCTTTAAAGGATTAGGAGATATTTCTAATCTCTAGATCACATTAGCTTTTTTCCTTTTACTCCAAAACTCCTCCAGGATAATGCTGTGATTTAAATGCTATCATTTCGATTTTTACTTACATGTTTTAGTCTGGAATCTCAGAAGTAGCAAAAAGAGGTGTTTTGCCCATTTATTACATGCTATTTCCAGCCTTTGTTTTTCTTTAGGAAAAAATTTCTTAGCGAGTATGATTTGATTAAGTCAATAAGTTTAGATAAAACCATCTGACCTAGATAATTGTGACTGCACATGGGTTTTTTTCTTTTTTTTTCCCCCCCTCTTTTCACCATCCACAAAGAAGCCTCAAAAAAGTTACTGTGGAAAGCATGCTGTTTGCTAATAATTCGGTAAATGTTACAGATCAGATTCAATGGTGAAAGCATTAATGCATAAATTGATTTCGATAGAATTTTTCAGAGCCTTCTAAACAAAAAAAGAAAGGGACCTAAATTGAACTGGATAATTTTCTTTCAGTCCTGGCCATTGCTGTCCAGATTACACTGCTTAAAGTTATAGTGAATTTCACATCAAGGGTCATAATTTGAGACAATGCGAGCTAATGTATTTAACCTAATTTATGAACTAGCCTGAAACACTGATGAAGAATCTTGAAGTTTCAATACCAAAAAGTCGCCACTGATAAATTTCGATATACAGTTCATTCTGCTATATTGCGACATAGCCTTCCTAAAAACACTTGCACTCCGCAAAATCTAAAACCACCAAGTAATAAGACAGTGAAATTTGAGCTCAGCGCTCAAAAACTTCATCGGTGATGCACACACACAAAATGGTAGGGACCTATTTAAAAAAATAGCCCAGTTGTATCCATGTTAAGTGGTTACGAAATATGTAAAATTATAATAAATGCGCCACTTTATCTTGAAAAACACCCGAAGTTTGCTTATGGAATTGTGTGCACATTACGTCTGCTTGTACATGTGAATGCATGCCACTCGGTGTGCAAGAGAAAAAAAGAGGGGGGAAAAAAAAAGAGATGAAAATTTTGAAAAAGAACAAAGAATAGGGAGGAAAATGAATCAGTTGAGAGGCGAGGGGAAAATTAAGCAGAGTGGAGGACACCCCCTAGCCCCCCACCCCCCACCCAGGATGGCCTTTGGAATCAGGGCAACTTGCCAGTTACTGAAGGTGGAAGGTGAGGTACTCGAAATCAGGGAGTAGCGGCGGCAGACGTGGACAGGTGGGGACCGTGGTGCTCTTCGGGTGTGTAGCTGTGTGGGTTTTGTGTATTCCCATGGCGATGCGTTTTCTACATTCACTTAGAGTTTCTAGGATAAAATTGTGCATCAACACATGTAAATTTCACATTATGCTTACAGTGATCTCCAATACATCGATGGTATCGGAAGAAATTTGTGTTTTCGAGGCAAGCATATAGGAGATCTGTACGATACTATATCCATCAGTTTGATTTATTCCATCAACATCTGTAGAGAGCAAAGAGGGACTGGAATGCTACAGGAAAGACTAGATCATGGTAACACCCGAAGTATTTGGGGGCAGGATATTGAGGGGCAAGAGGGGCTATAGGTAGAAACCAGAAACGTATCATACCCTGTAGGCAGTGCTGTCTGAATTCACATGTGGCGAGTTTTTGCACTGAAACTCTCGGTGGTGACGGTGACTGTTTTCCAGGGCGTGTCGGACGTGTGACTAACATCGCTAACCACAGAGGCTGTGCTTAAGCTCTTAAGCTCTTTGAGTGTTGGCCTTGATGGCTTTTTACAGGCTGCCTTTAAAAAAAAACAAAAAAAACCATATCCTTTGCAAGTATTCCTTTCAAACCTGGCTCTCCCCGAGACCTGTTCTTGAGAAGCATCGCCATAGTCCTGCTCACTGTGGCGTATTCTGGTGTGTCCTGTTTTAACCCCTTCTAAGTACCGTCCATGGTTCACTGAGTGCGGTGTGGGTTTGTTATTGGAGCACACAGGCATTGTTCTAGATACGTGCTTGTGTTTGTAGTCTTGACAGTGAAATATGGCATTTCCAGAGGTACAACAGCACCATTCCCTACCTCTGTTTTATGAGCGTGACCTGGGGCAACAGATTACCCTTTAGCTCCTCTCAGGAGTACCGCCTGATGTTTTCTGGGCCAGACACAAGCCATGTATTCAGGCATTTGGGGTTAAGATAGCCTCTCTGCTCATTAGACCGTAATTATAGATGTGATTGATGGATCTGTCTTTAAGCGAGATAATTCTGTTTGAATAGAAGTCACGTGGCATCAGGAAATTAGCAGTGGGTTTGTAGTTCAGAAGAGTTGACGGTTAGTTTTGGTTCTCCTTAATTAGCTTTATAATCTTCGGGCCTGAGTACTCTGAACTTTGACTAAAGCTTTGTTGTTGTTGTTGTCTTAATCTCTAAAATTACTACAATAATACTTCCCAAGGTTAGCAGTAAAATACCTAAAGCACCAAACATACGACAGACTACATATCAGGTGCTAGATAATTTATAATTATAATTACAGCTGTTATTGTAATTATGTGTTCTGTTCCTCTTTCTGGTTCTTGATAAATAATTAAAAATCACAATCATCTCAAAATATATGTGCCTATGAACATTTCAAATAATGTAAGACTTAGAGGTCTTTGTTTATTTCCAAGGTTAGAGGTTTCGGTAGGTTTTTCTGCTGCTTTAGGTGATGAGAGCTGGGACTCATTCAGTAAATGGGTCAGTAAATCTGCTTTTCTGCAGTTCTGTTTCCCCATCTCCTCGAGCAGAGCCACGAGTCTTTGAATTTGACGCAAGAGAGTGAAGGGGAGAAATTTCTAATCCTCGTCAGAATGAAGCGGCTCAGGTGTCTGCTCTGTGAAAACCTCCTCTTTGTATGATCTGACCAGTAGGCTTGAGAGTGTGTCTGGAGTTATTTCCTGCTTAGCCACGTCTGTTCATTCATTCCACAGGTACTCACCGAGACCCTACTTTGTGAATGGCTCTGTGCTAAATGCTTGGGGGGCACGGGGATGAAATAACTTGGGCTCCGAACTAATGGATTTAATTGGTAGATGACTTGAGAAACTTTAATGCGTGGTGGGTTTTAGTACTACGAGAGAAAGCACTCTCAAAACTCCATGCCAATCATCTCTCTCAGACTGACATGATTACATTTCTAGTGCTAAAACTTGAGGGTGACAGAAATCACTGCAGAAGTACAAAAGTTATAAAAATTCTTTTTTTTAAGATTTTATTTATTTATTTGATAGAGACACAGTGAGAGAGGGAACACAAGCAGGGGGGAGTGGGAGAGGGAGAAGCAGGCTTCCCGCTGAGCAGGGAGCCCGATGCGGGGCTCGATCCCAGGACCCTGAGATCATGACCTGAGCTGAAGGCAGACGCTTAACGACTGAGCCACCCAGGTGCCCCCAAAATTTCTTTTTTGTCATTTTTTTCATGTCCCCCACATAACAGGTGCATAAAGAAATAGCCTCAGTGGAGGAGACCATAAAAGCTGTCCTTCTGTTCGGCTTTGTCTCCATTCGTATTAGCTTGTCGAATAAAGGTGACTGCATTGTTCTAGGCTTAAAATAGAAAATGCCTCCCTACAAATGAAAGAGTCTCCTGGCATTTCATACCACTACTCCTGTTTCTGATAAATGAATTATTGATGTCTGAGTTAGAGCTTCCCTTCCCTAGGTTGCTTCTTGTTAAATGTTCCCTCCATTTAAAAGTCATAGCAACATATTTAGTGGGAGGTGAGAGCACACATTATATCTTGAATGGGCGATATGTGGGCCCAGAATCTAATTCCTTTTGAAAATGAACCAATCCATAAGTTAAAGACTCATTTTTCAAAAGGAATTAATTTTTTTCATTTTTCTTTCTGATCTCTATTTTCAGGAAGATTTAAGCAGGGTAGATGGAAGTACATTTTTTTTCTGATTCTTTAGTCTCCTTGCACATGTCATTTCTGGTTTTAAGAATGTATGTCGCCATGTTGTAGAAACCAAAGTGCACGTGGCCTTCTCTTTCTCATCCCTGCAGATGGGGGACTGTTTTCAGGAGATAGTGTTCCAAAACAAAGCCAATGATTGTAACAAATGTTTTCTAACTATAGAGAAAATATTTTAACTCCATTCTAGAGGGAAAAAAAAACTTTAGATCAATGACCTTTTCTTGAGATCCATAACCTTAACAGGTAGAAACCTTGTTTATTTAAATTTTTTACTCAAGTATAATTAACACACAGTATTATATTAGTTTCAAGTGTACACTGTAACGATTCAACAATTCTATACATTTTTCAGTGCTCATCAA